GCAGGCCTTTGCGGGAAACATATCCAACTGATAGTGTAATGAGATCAAGATGCATGCAGCAAGCGCAGCCCCGTCTAGTTAGAAATCGAGTCCTTCTCAGGCTCAAACATCCAATTATCGTCATCCAATGATGCTACCTTTTTGCGTAGGCTCTCGTGCACGATATTCAGAATCTCTGTTTCCGATCAGTATATGACCGCAAAAACAACCGTGACTCAAGCCAGACTAGACCGTAACTTACCATCAGGTTCACCGTTCGATTGTCTGGTCCGATGCCGAACCATCATCTCCACAAGGGCTGTCTCGAACTCTGTATTAAGTGTTAGTAGACTATATTTCACAGAGGAAAACAGCACCGAGTCAAGAACATACTCTCTTTGTCCCGTCCAGTGAGCTCTGAAGAAGCAAATCCTCCATTCTCCGGCGCAAGTTCAGCCAGCTCCTCTCCATCTTCTCCAACCAGAGCCTGCGGCAATGTCGGAATCTCAAGCTTATAGCTACCATTCTTGTCCCGAACCACGATATCTTTATTCTCCGCCATCTTGAATGGTCGAGTATGCGGTCCCGAGTCCGAAGACGTAGTCTTCAACCGGTGCGAGGGGCGATTGGAAAGGCCGTTGTGGTTCTGAGGAACTGTGCCGTTAGGTGGTCCTGCGGAGGCAGGTCGGCGGCTGAGGTTCCCGTGGAATAGGTTGCGGCGGACAGAGCTCTGGCTCATGATTCCAGACGGTTGCATGATTGTACAGACCGCTGTTTGTGTTTTGTCTGTTGTATTTGGCTGGAAGTTCTGAGTATGCGGGGAGCCGTCCGCGTCGCAGAGAGGAGGCGTGGATGTTTCGAGGAGAGGGTTGATTCTAGCCGTGCATGTCAGGGTGTGTAAAATGGAGGGAATATGGTCATTTCCCAGTTTCTAGGTATTAAGAATAATTGTTGTTGGGGTGAAAGGAGGAAGAATGGCACGGAATGAAGTAGATGAGAAAAAAACCACGACAACCACCATTGAACTAAACTATGTGTGCAATAGTCAGCATATTAGGATTAATTGTCTAATTAGGAGCCCATAGAGATTACACAGAATAAAATAATCAAAACCAACAGCTTCAATGCCTTAAATGTCACACATCCATCTGAAAGTGCACAGGCCAGCTGATAAGCCGTTATCGCGTTTCCCACGCGTGCTTCTTTCGCGTCTTCCTTTCACTGCAGTTCTTCACTTTGGAATCACCAAATCGCTCACAATGGTTCAAGCTGAATCTTCCTCTGCTTCTCGCAATGGTGCCAAGGCAAATACTGCCGGTGCCCCTGTGGACTATGAGCTCCCCTGGTAGGTAGAGTATCCTTTCGGAATATTAGGCAGAGCTAACCTTTGGCTTGTCAATAGGGTCGAGAAATATCGCCCAATCTTCCTCGATGATATTGTCGGCAACACTGAAACAGTGGAGCGGTTAAAGATCATTGCCAAAGATGGCAATATGCCACACGTTATCATCTCCGGCATGCCGGGTATTGGAAAGACCACTTCAGTACTATGTCTAGCGCGGCAAATGCTGGGTGATGCATACAAGGAGGCAGTTCTGGAGCTGAATGCTAGTGATGAGAGAGGTCAATACTTACATCATTTCTTTGAATGTTTGGGCGGTCCATACTGATGCTGTGGTCTAGGTATCGATGTGGTCCGGAATCGAATCAAAGGTTTTGCCCAAAAGAAAGTCACACTGCCTCAAGGACGCCATAAACTGGTCATCCTTGATGAAGCTGATAGGTTTGTTCTCGTTGGAGTTCCGTTTCGGTCATTGGACTCACATCTTCCCGCAGCATGACCGCCGGTGCCCAACAAGCCCTGCGACGTACTATGGAAATCTACTCCTCTACCACAAGATTTGCCTTTGCCTGTAACCAGTCGAATAAGATCATCGAACCCATCCAATCCCGTTGTGCCATTCTCCGCTATGCCCGGTTGACGGATGCTCAGGTTGTGAAACGGTTGATGCAGATTTGCGAGGCGGAGAAGGTCCAGCACTCGGAGGATGGCATTGCTGCACTTGTTTTCAGTGCAGAGGGTGACATGCGTCAGGCTATCAACAACCTGCAGAGTACTTGGTCCGGTTTCGGTTTCGTCAGCGGAGACAATGTTTTCCGAGTAGTTGACAGCCCGCACCCGGTCAAAGTCCAGGCCATGATCAAGGCTTGCTGGGAAGGCAAGGTGGATGTGGCGCTAGAGGGATTGAATGAGCTATGGTATGTTGTAAATGTGTTTGATTCGAAGTACTGGAGGTTTCTAACCATTTTATATCTACAGGACCCTGGGATATTCTTCTCACGATATCATCAGTACCATGTTCCGAGTCACCAAGACCATCCCCACATTGTCCGAACATTCCAAGTTGGAGTTCATTCGGGAGATTGGATTCACGCATATGCGTATCCTAGATGGTGTGCAGTCACTGCTTCAACTGAGCGGCTGTGTGGCGAAGCTTTGCAAGATTAACATGAAACCTGAACTGTTCGAGCCTCCCAAGGCTTGAGACTCAAGAGTGCTTGTCTTGTTGCATATTCCCACGGCGTTTTTCATTTAAGTGACTCTGGAGGCAGATATCCCGTCAAGCTGCATAATGAGTTACGTCTACCATATCTATCCCAAAAATTAGTTCAATCATCGGCGATGTACGTCTTTCAGTCTGCGAGTTGACCCATGTTCATATTCTGCCTATATGTCCTAGATAGCTCAATTGGATTTGTCGACATGACTTTTCCAGAGCTTCTCAATAACCGTAGCAGCCCCCAGTACCTTCTCTTCCTGGAGTTTCTTCCCGATGATCTGCAGATTCACCGGACATCCATCCGCCTGTTTCGCATCGAAGATATTCCAATTCCACTCATCGGGGCCGTTTCTTGGAACATAAGGCTCCGATGGCAACATATCCAGCTCAGCCCTCACTCTGTCCACCGGGAACGTCAAAGCCGGGTAGTCCAGCAAATTCCAAATCTTAGTATAGCCAACCCAACGTAGTTTCCGGTGGGGCACAGTCGTATGCGGCAAAGTAGGACTCAACAGAATATCGACAGGCCGACCCGACGGAGACCGCACCGCATTCCATTTATCCAGATACTTCTTTTGCACCGCAGTCTTCCGCTTGTTCAATTGCCAATACTCATAAACCGAGATAGCCTTGCCGCGGTTAAGCATCGTTTCAACGTGTGGAATAAACGGCTCGCCGGCAGCAGCTACATCCCGACGAATATCCTCACCCCCGTCGACCGTGTAGAAGAGATCCATAATCTGAATGCATTCCTCGTGGTCAGATGTATCCCAGACCACAACCTCGTGGCCATGTGCTTTAAGCACCCCTGAGAGTTCTAGCAGAGCGCGCGCAATAGGCGGGTGGATCTTTACCACACCGTCATCCAGGATCAAGCCGATGACCATAGGTCGGTCTTGGAGTTCTTGGAACGCAGTGTCGTTCCAGGGAAGAGGAACACACCGTGGATCGACATCCCAGGGCTGGCTGTTCGCTATCAGACGGCTCATATAGCAGATCGAGCGAAGATCTCGGGCCATCGGGCCGATAGAAGATGGGACATGTTCTTGGCCTTCGGTGGAGACGGGTACGCCCTGGTATGGGATCCGAGAGCTCTGTTTTTGGGAGATTATAAGCACATATCTCAAGAGAAATAAAGTTGTTCATGGCAGCTGTACTTACGCTTGGTTTGAAGCCATACAAGCCCACTGTAGCCTGTGGGATTCTTACACTTCCGCCGAGATCAGTTCCGAATCCGAATAGTGATCCATGCAATGTCAACAGAGCGCCTTCGCCGCCAGTTGAACCACCGGCTGAAAAAATGGGATTGCGAGGATTAGTCGTCAGTCCCCAGAGGGGATTCTCGGTCTCGGCCCACTGGATGTAAGATCAATGGTCAATGTCCGAATCAGATTCTATCAGTGGTGATCTCGAACGAACCATGATACTCTGTGGAAGGTTTGTCTTCGCGATGACGATAGCGCCCATGTTCTTTAGGATCTGCACAAGCACCGCGTCTTCCTGGGCCGGGGCGAAGGACCTGCCCACATATCCCAGGGTCGTGTCGACGCCTTTGACGTTAAATTGGTCTTTCAACGTGATTGGAATTCCATGTAGGGGGCCTTTGAGCTTTCCGGTTTCTGTGAAAACGGCATCTAGCTGCTTTGCCTGTTTCAGGGCATCTTCGAAAAGAACCTCGGTCAAGCTATTTGTCTATTCATGCCGGATTCTATCAACCAATTGGCCGGGGGCGGAAATTGAAATGAAGATGCGAGGCACATACCAATTGATGTGCTATCACAGCCCTACCGATGATATCAGTATACGGTCCGTTCCAACCCTCGCTAAAAGACATACCGTTGGATGTATGCCTTGACCACCTGCTCTGCTCGAAACTCCCCTTTCTCCAGACGTTCCAGCAGGGCGGCGACATTGTCAATATCTGTAATCTTTTGAATCAAGGGATCTTCTAGTCGAGTACGCTCCTCGGCATTCTGTACTTGCGGCAGACGTTCAGTTACGTCGATTAAGTACGGTGCGATGAGTTGGTCTCTAATGTTCCGTTTCTGAGACACAATTTCCTCCCAAGTCTGTGAGCTACCCATTTTTTTTTGCTATGAATTGGCTGAGTCGTGGAGGTCAAGACTAGCTTTATATAGTCTGCTCGGACAGCAGTCCGAGGGGCCCTCTTATCAAGTGGGGACGTGGCACACTCTTGTCAAATATCATACTTGGAGTCATTTCCCTCTTTATCTAACCGGGATTTGCCGGTCCCCTCAATAATTCGGGGTCATTTCCATATGATCTTTTGTATCTGCGTATTAGACAGAGAGACCGAGAGAGACGAGAAACAGAAGGTGAGAGCGGGGGGCGAATTGCCCATGTGGGTCAAACCTTCTTTGACCTCATGGATTTTATGTCCGACAAACTCCCCGATAGAGCTATAGCTCTGTGGCTCTCTACGGCTTTTGTATCATGGCGATGGAATCCAGACCGACTGGCTCTGCGAGCGCCATCCGCTCACACAAAGCCGCCATTGCCAAGCGTGCGTGCGACCAATGCAAGTTCCGCAAAATCAAGGTGAGACATCCCCCTTTTTATGTATCAAAAATGAATGTACTGACTTGACGATAGTGTAGTCTGTCGCAGCCATGTAAGGCTTGTCAGTCCATGGGCTTTGAGTGTACATTCCTTCAGCCACAGAAGAAGCGCGGACCAACCGGGCAGTGAGTAATCGCCCGTGACTGTGGATAGTATCACACTGACGAGGATGAAGTCGCGTGTCACAAATCAGACAGCAGCAAACTGTCATAAGTCCCCAAGAGGAACCTAAGAATGCCTTCCAATTTCAAACTCCGACCTCATCCGTGGAGTCTGGTCAAGGTTCTGTGCCCGGAGCACCTTGGACCCCCACTCATGGTCCAGCCCCCTTAGAAGGGGCCGGAGGACTGGCGCCTCCAGGTATACCCCCTCCAATGGCTGCATGGGGTGAGGAAACCGCATCTATAGATTCTCACAACAGCGGCGTGAGTTGGAGCGACCGAAATGACGTCGAATATTGGCTTCCAGATAATCTGGATTCTCAAGTCCCTGTCTTCGAATTTCCAAGTAATGTATATCTCAAGCCATCTCTCCCGTCTATCATTCAATCAGTCCCCGATACTGGGGCTATGGGAATGCCTCAGGAAGCTCCAAATATGCCGTTTTCACCAGCCGTAGGGTCTATGCACTCGGATACGCGGGAGACTGAGGCAATTTGGCCAGCTACGATCAACGAAGCAAATATGATCCCTTGGATTGACGTCTACTTTGATCGGCTACATCCGACCATACCCGTCCTCAACCGGTCGTCCCTGTACACTTCAATGCTCGCACAAGAACATCGCAAGAACTCTCAGTTCGGGGCCATGATCTTGTCATTATGTGCATTCTCGCTCACACAGCCAATTGAGATCAATGAGCGGCCAACATCCTCATCCCGAGCTCTGCAGGCACGAGCCATGATGCACGAAGCGACCAAAATGCGAAGCTGTTCGGATTTTGGCGAGAATCCGACCATTGAAGCTGTCCTAACAAGTTTTTTCCTCTTTGGCTGTTTGTTTGGAAGTAACCAGCACAACGCAGCGTGGCTTAGGATACGCGAGGCACTCGACCTTGCGGCCACGCTGGGTTTGAATGATCCCGAGTCATATCACGATCTGTCTGGGGAAGAGAAAGGCCAGCGACTACGAACGTACCTCGTCCTTTCTATCACGGAAAGGTAAGTAAATGACTTGGCCTTCTCAAAATCAACCTCGCTGACCATAATTGTCAGAGCATATGCTTTGCAACACCGACACCCAATAACCTTCTGGGGGAAGCCAGGATTCACTATGCAGTCAGTGCATGATTTTATCCACAGCGCCACGCACAGCGTCGTATCTGGCATTATAGTCCACAACGAGAAAGACGCCGAGGGAATGATGGGTCTTGCACGAATGATGGAACTATTCGATGCCATCGACGAAGATGTCATCGACTGCTGGAACCGCCGGTGTGATATCAGCAACGGATACTGCCAGCGACTCACCGAAGCCAAGGCACTCTCCATCCACCAGAATCTCAATCGAATCAACCAAGCCGAACGATATCGAGGCTATGACTGGTTCGAGCGAGCCAAGGGAGGCCGTAGCGAAACCAACAATGTCATATTTGCCATGGGCCTACGAGAAACCCAAGCAGCGGACGTTTTCATCACCCAGAAATGGCTCCAGAATCGTGTCTGGCTCCTCTCCTCAACCCACGGGCTTCTGAGTGCCCACGCCGAGCAACCCGAGCTAAGCTTCGGATATGCTGTATCCGTTGCTGAATCCACTCTTCAACTGTGCCAGTCATTACGGCTGAGCTCCATGGAAGCCCATGGCATCGGTCTGGTGTGTAACTTGCTCCCATCTATAATCTGTAGATGCGTAGGTTTGGCTTGTGAACATGACCCCATACTAACGACTCAATATCTAGGCCGAAAAACTGTACGATATCGCAATCTGTGCAACAAACATCCTATGCAACACAACCTCGCCTTACGGGGGTCCCCTGAACATCCCTGCCAATTTCACTGAAAGACTACCACCAACTTCAACATGCACGCCCCAGAGTCTCGCAGAAGACTTTTTGTTGCTTATGACCAGTTTCCGGGGTGGAAACCATCCTTATCTGGAGAAGTATAAAGCTCACCTACGCTCACTACAGATTTTGGAACCCAAAGCTCAGGAGTGGGCGCAATGATGGGGCTCTTAGAGGGGTGTTTGATATGGTCTGAGCCGTGATTTGTCCAAATATTTGTACGAAATGGATCTTCGAGATGTACGATTTACTTTTTTCTCTCTGATTAGCCCATGTTACAGATGGAAAACTCATTTTCGACCGATTCTACAGCCCACCAATGGAGCAAGTTTAACTAAACCCCGAATTTATGTATGTCCATGGTCAGTATGATGCGGATAGCGAAGAGCTTAGGCATTTGCCCTGCGGTATATATTTACAGACTCGAATTGGAAACCCCCAGCCCCTGTATTGGTCTTGTAACTAGAAGGATAAGAAGAATCGACTACAAAATATAGAACATACGAGGCTGTGAAAAAAAAAAAGTGTACAGTTTACAGTGTGCAAACCGGTTCTTCTACTTTGTATATACAGGAATAGCTGTCCCTTATGGGGTTCTTTTCGGTGGTCTTCTCAGATATTCTGCTCAGATATCTTTACCTAAGATGCAATATATATCTTACAGAATCTGTGTTTTACGTAGGAAGTGTAGGAACATCTTACAAGGTGGTTAAATTACTCTAACGTAAAAGATGATATCTCTGTGCCTCCAAACCGATCCCAATTGTACTTTCACTGATCCTACCCGTCGACTTCATCATCGCTACCTGATCCTACATCGGGGCCCTGGGTTGTTCTCAATCACGGGCTTCTCTACCCCCAGCTGGAATGCTCTATAGGGTCCTTACCTGGGGGTGGGGGTTTGTGTGCCCTCATTATGGCGGCGTGGGTAGCCGTGATTGTATCCCTCAGACAAGCGGCCCAACCGCGACATTCTTCTCGAGTATGCTCGGTCATCTCACAGAACGTGCACCATTCCTATTCTCAATGGTCAATCTATATATGGGTTGAGGGCAGGTGCTGATCAGTTCAGACGCTCCCACGCGATTCGACGCGTGTATTTCACCTACGGCGACTCGTTTTTTTGCCTGGGTTCGGCATCGCAGCTTATTCCGAAAGGAATGGAGGCAAGAACCAACAGAAACTGGCCTTGTGGAGGTCCGGGCTTGTTCGGGGTTTGAGTCGTGAGAGAGGATAGAGAATAGAAAGAGGAGGGAGAGAGAGGGACGGAGAGAGGATGGTCTTGTCTCGGGACTTCATCTGAAGTGGTAGGACCTCTTTCCTTCAAGGCTTAGACAGGGTTTATTTGGCATCTACAGGGATTGTTGAACACTTGGGAGTTTTCATCATAACTCATAAAGGGGGACTAATCCCATTTTGTTTCTACAAATCATGAGAGCATGTTCAAGATAGCATATATCCGTGTCGAGGTGTCCTCGCTTGCCACCGCCAATTCAAACTGATTCTTGGTATCCGCCTCTGCAGCTGGCACCGGTCGCCATGCTAATTGAGTAATTGTCTTTGAGGGTGAGATCACCTTGTCAATGGTCACAATGTGCTGTGCTTCAAGAGTGTCGGCAGCAATTCCGTGAATAGAGATGACACCACTGTCCTCGCCGACAGCAATCACATATGTGCCTTTGTATGTTGCGGGCAAGAAAGCAATTGCTGAGACCGCAGATGTCAGAGCCACGGTTGTTTTGCAGGCGAAAGTGTCTTCGGACTTTTGCCAGATCTTCACGGATTTGTCACGACCTGCCGTGGCAAAGACATGGTTTGTTGTAGCTGGGGCCCAGGCTGCACCTAGGATCATTCGAGAATGACCCTTGGGATTGATGCTGAGGTTTGTAAACGTAGTTGGGTCTGCATCGCTCCGCTGGAAGACCGCCCATTGGCGATCTCGTCCAACACTGAGAAGATAGCGATCGTCACTCGAGAATGAAAGGTCCGTAATGGTCAACGAGTGTGCAGTGAGAGACGGCTTGATCTCGTGCCAGTCCGACGTATCATAAAGGCGAATTACTGCGTGGTCGATCGAGCTGGCCTTGCAGGCCGTAGCAATGAGCTTACGGTCATGGCTCACTGCCACTGCTGAAATTTCATAGCCATGACCATAGAGCTTTTCATGCTCTGGCCACAATGTGTAACGTGACAACTGATCTTCCAGTGGCGGGTGATCGGCAGCCAGCAAGGCAGAAGCGACTGGTGCCTCAGTGGGGGTTTTTTGCCCATCCTCTTCCACCGGTGCCTCATCTCCAAGTGCCTTATTCGAGAGACCCAGCACTGGGATTTCAGCAGTGTCTGGGAGGTCCTGATCATTTGATTGTTTGAAACCAGTGAGGCTCTCAAGCAACTGAGCAATTGGTTTGGGCTCATTGAAAACACGCAGGAGCTTCTCCTCTGCGCCAGTCACAAACTGTGAGGGGCCCAGTGTATCGACACAGTTCAAATCGTACCCATGAATCTGAGGGCGAGAGAACTCATGCCATGAGCCTGTATTTCCCCGTACCCACTTTGCATGGAGCCGGGTGGTTTGGTCTGAACTGGTTGAAAGCAAATAGCCTCCGGTGGGCTCCCATTGTACACCGTTCGATGAGCGCACATGGCCCGAAACACCGAACCTCTGTAACCAAAGGTCCGAGTCGGAATCATGTCGCCAGACTCTCCAACTACCTGTCCGGCCAAGACTCACCACCTGCCTGCCATCTGGTGACCAGAGCCCAATCCAGAAGCCACCTGCACTACCAGTCGCTGTGGTAGATCCTTTTTGGACACTGATCTCTCCCATTCTCTCTGCGGACATCCAAACGCCTGACGCTTGATCTTGTTCCCAGATTGTGATGGTGTTATCAGCCGAAGCCGAGAGAAGCTGCTGTCGCTTCGAATCAGGATTCCATGCAATGGTATATATCCAGTCTTCATGTCCAAAGAGAAGAGCTTCGAAAGTAATGGAGTATTTCGATCCCGCAGCCTCAAACTCATGGGCTTTGTTCGATAGCGTAGGCTCCATTCCCCCAAGCAGAGGATCCGTATCATCTATCGGAGCAGGGGCACTTGCTTCACCCCGACGCAGTCGCCAAAGACGGATGTATCTATCTTGGCTTGCAGATGCTAGCAGGATATCACCGTTACTCTGCTTGTCCTGGGTGAAGGCAAGAGCTTTGATCCAGGCTTCGTGTCCCGCAAGCACAGCCCGGCGCTTAAACTCTGGCTTACCGACGGAGGTTTCCGAGACGTAGATCTGAACCTTGGTCGTTGTACCTGCAACGGCCAACACCAATGGCTTGTCCGAGTCGCCTTCAAGCGCCTGCAATGACAGAGATAGCGGGAAGAATCGTGGTGTCATTGTAATCGTGTCAAGTAGCTCACACTTCAATTCGCCCTGTGCATTTATTCTCCAGATCCGAACCGTGCCATCAGCTGCTCCAGATGCGATAATGTCCGTTCCATCAGCGACGGCAATCGCATTCACCGAGCTCGTGTGACCCTCAAGGGTAAACGCAAGGACATAATTGCGGGGATCGGCATTGTCCTTCTGCCATACCCGTATTGTGCGGTCGACGGAGCCAGTGACGATAAATCTCGTTCCTGAGGCGGGGCATGTATAAAATCGAACGACACTGACTTTGTCGGTATGACCAACAAGTAGGGCATGGATACCACGATCAGTCTTGTCCTTGGCTAAGTGTCAGCTTTTCCTTTTTATCAATGCGCAGTTGTTCTCAATGGACATACTAGAGGATCCCATAAGGCGACATTGTTGTCCGCACCAAATGCGAGCACACCTGTCTTCACATCCCAATCCGCGGCGCCAGGGTGCCGGTTTCCCCCACGCTAATATATTCTGTTTCGACGGCGACCATGGAGTATTATGAGGGAGTGTGAACCCTCCTGTCTGTCTGTGCTGCTGTATTAGGAATAAGTTGGAGAAAAGCCGCAAAGAAATTGCGGGAAGATTGGGGCTTATCGATAAGAGGCTCTGTCTCCGCCTAGCCCCTCCATCTCTAACAGAATCAACTGTGATCTCTTTTCGTTCTCAATAAGAGAGATAACTGCTATATACTCTATATTTCTCTTCATCTGCAACGCTATGGCTGATACTTCGAACGCGGACCAGGGAGATTTTCCTATCCCTATCACCGTCGAGTTTACGTACGTCAAATCTTTCCTTCAATCGATCAACCTTTGCTAATCATTGATCTCGATAGTGGCGGCTTAGAATTGCTATTCGGGAATGAGCGCAAGCATAAGGTCGTTTTACCTGCTCATTTAGAGGACGGCAGCAGGCCAAACATCTCATACCTGCTCAAATACCTCGTTGACAACCTCATGAAGGATCAGAGGATAGATATGTTCATCATGGAGGACAATGTGTATGTCAACATAGCTTTGGGACTTTCTTCAAACAGATGCTAATGGCTTCGATAGACGACCAGGCATTCTCGTCCTTATCAACGATGCCGATTGGGAACTCGAAGGCGAAGAGACATATGAACTTGAACAAGGGGATAACATTGTTTTTGTGTCAACTTTACACGGCGGTTAAACTTGATGGATTGTATTGATACTATCAACGCAACGACGACAAAAAGGAGACTTGATTCGAAGTGTGGCTAAAGGAATTCAAGAGCAAGATATGGGTGGTATTACCAGGCAAGGCGAATTACTGTGGACTTCTACCTAGACCACATCTTCAACATGCTGCTGTGAGATCCTTTCGCGCTCACGCGGTGTTCGGATTCCACTGGGTGTTCGATGTCCACCCTGTGGGGTTGCTTGACCTTCTGGGGTACCAAGCCCCTGCGTTGGTGATACCACTCCGCTTGGGGGCACTGGGATCTTCAAGTCCCCTGGAGGAGCCAGGACAATCTCTTCTGGGAGGTCGGGTATATGGATCCGCTGAGCCTCGTTCTGATAGCTCTCCGGAACGATCTGGAATAGTGTTAATTAACCATAGATACTAATATAATCCAAAGTCCAACTTACCTCAATGATTTCATCGCGAGGGAACTCAAGGAACGGAATGTCAGCAGCATTGCAGGCCATGAGATAGCCATACAAAACCCTCAAAACACTTTCATGTGCAATGATGAGCAGATCAGTTTGCTCCCTCTCCAGTTCAA